TTTTAATTTAGCTCATCAGGAATGTCTAGTGACTGGGAAGAATTTGGCCCAAATGAATGTGCATACCTTTTTATATGATACTTCCTTCTAAGTGTATTATTAAGGAAACTTCTGTTAACAGTTGATATTTCCCCATAACCTATTAATTTTTAGAAATAAAAACGAATGTGAAAGCATGTATTTCTAAAATCCCTGGATATAACGGATTTTTCTTATAGGCTTCAATATTTATCACCTAATTTATACTTGAATTTACTCTAAATTCTATTATCCAGTTGTATATTACAACTCAAGCAAAACTCCAATGTTACTGATAATTTATAGACAGTTTAACCTATTTATTATGGGTTGAACTGTGTCTCTCAAAAAAAGGCATGATGAAGTCCTAACCCTCAATGTCTCAGAATGTTACCTTATTTGTAAACAGGGTCTTTGTGGATTTAACCAAGCTGAGGTCATCAGTGTGAGCCCTAATACATTACAACCCATATCTTTATAAAAAGGGGCAATTGGGACATAGACTCAGAAATGTGCAGAGGTAAGATGATAAGAAGAGATATAGGAAGAATGTCATGTGAAGCTGGAGGATAGCAGCGAGGCATCTAAAAGGCAAGGAATGCCAGAGATAGTTAGCAAACCACCAAACACTAGAAGAGGCAAGAAAGAAAATCTACAGATTTCAGAGGGAACAGGGCCTTGCTGACATCTTGATTTCAGACTACTAACATTTAGAACTGTGAGACAATAAATTTCTGCTGTTTTAAGCTACCCAATTTTCAGTACTTTGTTTCAGCAGCCCCAGCAAACTAATACACCAGTAGGTATTAACTGTTCATAATATGATTTGTTATCACTGAATCCTTAAAACGTAGTTTGATTTTTTAAAGCAAGCTTAATTAGTCAAAGGCCAAATGGAGGCAACCATCAGAAAATCTGTAACCGGAGTGCCCTCTTTAGCAGTCTGGTGAAGTCTATGGATCCCTTCTCAGAATAATATTTTGAAATCTATAAAATTAAAAAAAAACCACTGGATTATGAATGGAATTCCATTCCAACATTGAAATGGTTGTCAGAATTTAAGAAACACCAATTTGTGACGCAGTGATATAATGCACTTCATTATCAACCCATTAATAATAAAATCTAGAAGTCTATTAGTGATGGGAACAAATGGTATTTTCAGATAACTATAGTACAATGTGACAATATTTGTGAAAAAGTCACAAGTACTGCTAAAGCTGACGCAGTATCTTTCTTACACTAATTTAAAGAAATGCTATATTTCAGATAGAGATGAATAAACACAGATATGTAATTTATTCCCAGCCATGTCTAAGGACCCTTTGAATTCTATCTGTGCAGTACTTGGTAGCTGGTGAATCCCAGGTAAAAACAAAAAACCCAAAACAACAACAAAAACAACAACGAACTGCTGAAGAGGAAAGACTGTCAGGAAATTGTTTCTATTTCCATTTTGATAGAATTGGCCTAAAGGACTCTGTGATAGTTGTGTGGGTGCCACTCAGTATCTCCTTTCTTGTGTGTCTCCCTGAACTGCAGAGGAAAGCTAGAGACCACAGGTCATAGACTCCCTTGCAGCTAATGTTCTAAGCATGATTTAAGTTCAATCAATCAGCATTTATATAAGATCTGAAAGAAGGAAGTGAAGTAAAATCTGTATGTATGCTGTTTTTGCTGGTGAGCCTAGTATGTAGGATGCAGTTGGGGTTTATTACTATTCTAGTGTCTATTACTCGATAGTGGAGGCCAAGAGGCAGGGTCCTGGCACATTTAGTTGGCCATGCATCCTAGTAAATGTGGCATGGTTCTGAACCTGGCAGCAAAAGTAGCATTCAGATCATGGCACTTTCTGCACTGTGGGATTGGCTGTATGGCTTGGAAGTCCTTACTGACAACAAAATGAAGTCTGTTTCCTCAATCTTTCTTACACTTATGCCCTTTCTTTTCTTATCAAATTAATTCCCTGAAATACATCCCTTTTACTTTAACTAGCTAGAATAAATTGTTATCTGAACTCCCGACCCATACAGAATACAATTTACATTCCCTTCTATAAAAGACCCATTTCCTCAAGAACTCTGACAAAGGAGTTGTTTTCCATTCTTTACCAAAAAGTATACTTTCAACTTCAAACACCCTGAGGGCAAAATGCTGAAATGCCCACTTTTCTTTGACCAAAAACAAATTTTTCAAATTTATATCACAAAAGCATAATAGAAAATACAAAGAATAGTTCAGAATTTGTTCCAATTCAGCTAGTTACAATCACGTCATAAAGAAGTATTGCCTAATAGAGTAAAAATACAGGATTGCTAAAACAGAAAATATACATAAATTATTAGCTATTTCTCCATAAACATACACGACTTGGCCTAATTGCCATACCATTTGAGAATTAAGGCAATTATGTTCCTACGTGAAAGGAATTTAGGGCAGCCTGGGTGGCTCAGTGGTTTAGCACCGCCTTCAGCCCAGGGCATGATCCTTGAGTCCTCAGATAGAGTCCCATGTCAGGCTCCCTGCATGGACCCTGCTTCTCCCTCTGCCTGTCTCTCTCTCTCTCTCTCTCTCTCATGAATAAATAAATAAAATCTTAAAAAAAAAAAAAAAGAAAGGAATTTAATATTTAACCCTCAAAGTAAGCTAGGTGTTATGTTAGCTTGGTATTCTACTTAGCCAGGAGGTATCACAATGAGGTAAAATTAGTTACTCTCTAATTCTGGAGGCCAAAATGAAAATCCTAAATTATAATAGAGAATTTTTATTAACAAAATGAACTTGACTGGGCAGCCAGGGTGGCTCAGCGGTTTAGCGCCGCCTTCGGCCCAGGACCTGATCCTGGAGACCCGGGATCAAGTACGGAGTCGGGCTCCCTGCGTGGAGCCTGCTTCTCCCTCTGCCTGTGTCTCTGCCTCTCTCTGTGTCTCTCATGAATATACAAATAAAATCTTTTAAAAAATGAACTTGACTGAAAATTACCTCCATGACTTGGGCAAAATGAAATGGATAAACACTGCAGGAAAATGAATTGGTGTGCCAAAGGTCTGGAGGTCTTACATAGTATGCTATTCCAAGTGAGATTTCACTGAAATCCCTAGATTGGGTTAGTCATGTTTTTTTTTTTTTTTTTTTTTGCTTTGTTTTTCTGTGATATACACACAGACACAAAGCAGGAAAAATGCATATTAGTATAATTAACTAATATCAATAATATGTAGACATATTACTATAAAAATAAATATACTCTATTTGTCCATTACAATTCTGGGAGAAAGAGAAGGTAATCTTTTGGAAGTTAGAACTTTACTTATTTTTTTAAAAAGATTTTATTTATTTATTTGAGAGAGAGAATAAGAAAGAGCGAGGGAGCAGGGGAAGGGGCTGGGGGGCGAGGCACACTCCCTGCTGAGCAGGGAGCCAGATGGGGGTGGGACTGCATCCCAGGAAGCTGGGATCAGGACCTGAGCCAAAGACAGACCCTCAACGCACTGGGGCCACTCAGGCACCCGGGAAGTTAGAACTTTATTTAATACAAAGCATGAACTTGTGTGGTTTTTGTTTTTTTTTTTTTAAATCTTAACCATTACGTAAGAAAACGGAGTACGACATTTCATCTAATGTCTCCGAACGAACATAAATATTTAAGTCTCCGGAAGGTGAACCCGCACTTACATTAGGACTGTCACTTTATCAAAACCCAGTCAACAAAACCCCATAAATCAGATACATTTCTTAATCGTGTATAATTCCTTTACTGAACAGAAGGCAAATATATCTAAAATCCAATTTGAGGGCAGCCCGGGGGGCTCAGCGGTTTAGCGCCTGCCTTCGGCCCAGGGCGTGACCCTGGAGTCCCAGGATCGAGTCCAGGTCGGGCTCCCTGCATGGGGCCTGCTTCTCCCTCTGCCTGTGTCTCCGCCTCTCTCTCTCTCTCTCTCTCTCTCTGTGTCTCTCATGAATAAATAAATAAATAAAATCTTAAAAAAAAAATCCAATTTGAGCACAGAAACCAAGCATAAGAAGCGTAGCTCTAGTGGGCCAACATTATTTTCCAGGGGTTCAAGCCCTTTTCGTTAAGAACTTCCGAAAAGCCAGTTTGACTGAGGCTCGGCACTTGGATTTTGTCACCTTTTAAAATGAAAAAAAAAAAAAAAAGAACCTTCACGCTGTTACATAGGTCTATTATCTTTAACACCCGGAAATAACTTCAGAACACCAAACTTTGCGAGCTTGAAGTTCAAACGATCTTCGGGTGCGTGACTGTCACAGTAACCCGCTCAAGTGCATTTTTTTGCAAGGCCGTATTTGGAGCCCTTGCGTTCGTTGCCCTCTGGGAATAAAGAAAGGCGTTTCCGCGGCCTCCCCGGCTCCCGGCTCCCCGGCTCCCGGGTCCCGGCTCCCGGCGGGCGCACTACCTGCCCGAGCCCGCCTCCATGTTGCCCGTGGGAGGGAGAGGACTGCGAACAAAGCCGCGGCTCCCGCAGCGGTGCTCCGAGCTCGCCGCCCCCGCCCCCGCCCCCGCCCCCGCCCGTCACAGCCCCGAGGCGCTAGGGCCGCAGCGACGCGGCCCGAGAGGCAGAACGTCCGGCAGGTTCCCACACGCCCGCGGAGACCCAGCGGCTTCCCGAGGCCTCGGGCCCGAGCTCGCCACAGCCTGCCCGCCTCCCTGCACCCCCGGGCGCAAACCAGGAGCGCGGGGCGCCGGGCTCCGCTCGGGCCGAGCGAGGCGGGCAGGTCCGGGCGCGACTCCGGCGCCCCCGCCCGCGCCCCCGCCCGCGCCCCCGCCCGCGGGCCGCACTCACCAGGACCAGCAGCGCGGCGCCCTCCGCGTTCCGCGCCATCGCGCCCGCGCCCGCGCCCGCGCCCTCGCCCTCGCCCCGGGCCGCTCGCGCTGCTCGGCGCCGCCCGCTCCCCCGCTGCCCGCCAGCGCGCCCGCAGCGCCCGCCCCGAGGGCCGCTCGCCGCCGCCCCGCCCCGCCCCGCCCCGCCCGGGGCGCGGTGCCAGGTGCGGCCGCCGCGGGAGAAGCGGCACCTGGAGGCCGCCCGAGCTGCCGGCGCTGAGGTGGGGATTCCTCGGAGGAGGGGGAGGCGCGCGCTGCACGCCCGCCCCTCGTCGCACTCGCACCTGGGGCCGTGACGTCCCCGGGCCGGGGACTTTGGGGGGCAGGCCCCGCCCCCTCCTCTCGGGAGAGAGTGGCCGGCACCCGGGAGGCTCGGCCCCGGCCTAAGGGCAGGCAGACCTGGCTCGCCGCCGCCGCCGCCGCCGCCGCCGCCGCCGCCGCCCCGGGGTCCAGCGCTTGGTGAGCGTGCGCCGGCCCGGGCGCCCGTGGCCTCCCTGCACCCGGCAGGCGGGGGGTCGGGGAGCGGAGGCCCCCAGCTGGGTTTAGGTGTCTGGCTCGCTCTGGGACGGCGTCTTGCCTCTCCCCGGCGCCCTGCAGTGCTTCCAACAGGCCTGCGGCTTATCCGGTTAAGGGAGAAACAGAAAAATCACCGACGGTCTAAGCGGACACTCCTTTGACTTCTTGTTGACTGGACACAGCTGGGAAAACATTCTAGGGGTGTTGGGGGAAAGACAGACTCTTCGATACGACTCGCAAAACCTCTTACACAAAGCACAACCGGAATCCTTGCGCCGGTAGTTACCGGTGGTGGGACCTGCACTACCTCTCTTTGTTCTTGTGCACAGAGATCCCACGTCTGTTAAGTGGATCGATAGCGCCCGACACATAGGGCTGCCGTGAAGCCTTCTGTGGTGTTTAGTACCTCAGGTTCCATAAATGTAGCTGCTAGTAGTATAATTGTTTGCTGCAAGTGTAAATGTGAATGAAGTTGAATTTGAAAAAAAAAAAAACAAACAAAGACGCTCGGGATCCCTGGGTGGCGCAGCGGTTTGGCGCCTGCCTTTGGCCCAGGACACGATCCTGGAGACCCGGGATCGCGTCCCACGTCGGGCTCCCGGTGCATGGAGCCTGCTTCTCCCTCTGCCTGTGTCTCTGCCTCTCTCTCTCTCTGTGTGTGTGACTATCATTAGATTAATTAATAATTAATTAATTAAAAAAAATAAAACAGAGACGCTGGAATCAGCACCAGGTTAGGATACCTCTAAGCAAGATTAACAGTTGTTGGAGTAGTGGAAGAGCCTGTGAGATTATAAAGGGTTGGTTGGCATGCCGCTAGGAAGGGAAGTTTGGCATTCAAGGTGAACAAAATAGCAGAGTTCCTTCTGTGGTCAAAAGTGCCCTTTTGTTCTTCTCCGGTTTATCCTGCCCTTTTCTCCCCAGCTCTGATTTTGCCAGTTTTTCGGATCCAGTACAGTTGGCCTCTCCTCTTTAGTCACTTTCTTCCCTGGCCTCCAAGGTCCACTTCCTCTTTGAGTGGAGAGAACCACATTCTTCTCCTCTGTTTGTTTAGGGCTTAACTGCTGAGTGACTTTTCGCAAAGTACTATTTAAGTGTTAGCAATTCAGTTAGCAGAGGACTAAGTATCCAGGAAGGGCTTCTCTTTAGTTTTCCACTGTTTCCAGTGCCTAGAACAGTGTTGAGTACCAGGGAGACTCTTAAGCATTGGATGCATGATTAAATCGGGAGGGAAGTATGTCTTCTAGTTTCCATTCCTTTTTCTTGAGCTTAGACGTGGGTGGTAGCACCTTGGTGATAATTCTCATTCCCCATCACTATGGGAAAACTCCTAAATGAGCAAGACAGGCTTTACCAAAAGCCTTTACTTTCACAAATCAGCCCTGGAGACTATATATAAATCCTATCTAAAATTAGTGCTCTTGCACCTGAGTCCTATAGGCAAGTATTTATGTCTCATTATTGAAAGTTTGGTTTCTGTTTAGTGATGAAGATAATTGTAGTTTCCAGAGTGAGAAATAGGTAATGCAAAGTTTATTTCTGTTGGATTGTTCGTCTCTCCCGGAGGCTGACGAAGTCAGTTTCAGTACTGTAGTATTCTATAAAACATGTATTCCAAGGCTTTGAGGGAAGGTGTCAGTGCATGCGCTATCCAGTGCCATTGTATGTCATCCTTGAAGTAGTTCTCCTTTAAAAATTCTGAAACTTATGACTCAGTGAGTTGAGGGCAGTTGTTGAAAGTCAGATGAAACACAGCTCTAGCTCCTGACTTCTTTCTCCTGGCATGAGAGTAAATCTATTTTATAAATCTCTGTACATAGGAACAAATACCACTACCAACAAAGCACTTGATTGCTTTAAAAAAAAAAAAGATTTTATGTATTTATTCATGAGAGACAGAGAGAGAGAGAGGCAGGGAGGCAGAGACATAGGCAGAGGGAGAAGCAGGCTCCTTGTGGGAAGCCCGATATGGAACTTGACCCCAGGACCCTGGGATCATGACTTGAACCAAAGGCAGATGCTCAACCAGTGAACCACCCAGGTGCCCCTGATTCCTGATTTCTAAATCATAATGTATGGCCTTTATAACAACAAAAAGTGGCCATCGTGGTCAAGAGGCTTACTTACAGAATGTCTATTGATAAAGCATATGTAGATAAAAAATACGAAATACCTTTCACATAATGTGAAAAGGGCAATAAAAGGAGGAATCTCTTTTCTGGTTTAGCTCCACTCATTTACTCCTTCATGTACTCCTTCACAAACATTTAGTTTGTCCCTACTCACCAAACATTTCATTTGCATTTTATTGGAAATACAAAGATAAATATTTCTTCATCCCAAGAAACAAAAATAGATACTTATGAAATAACTACAGAACTTACAATCTATTATAAACACAGTGGTAAACATATATGCAGGGTATAATGCAAACCTAGGGAAGAGAGTCTTAATTCACAGTGAGGACATGATATATTAGATAGAAAAGGCTTTCGGTGGGGACTATAGGGTGGTGTGGTGAGCTGATTCTTAAAGGATGAGTAATTGTGAAGGAGACACTGAATCTGGCAGGACAGAGTAACTCAAAACATAGACACTGTTAGTGGAGAGTCAGGAGCTTCAGATTTCTGTGAAGAAAGCATTATTTTAATCACATTAACACAAACAAGGGAGTCAGAAGTAAAAGCTTTTTTTTTTTTTTCCCCAGTGAGATGTTAGAGGAATATCCAATTAGAAAAGTCTAGCAAGTAGTTTGAAATGAGAAGGAAAACATAATTTCAGGTGGATTTAGGAGGTAGAAACAGTCACCTAATTTTCTTTCTTTCTCCATCCATTTCTTATTGTCCACCACCCTGTTAAATATTTATGCCTTTTGAGTTCTCTCCTTTCCTTCTTTTCTTCTTCCTTGGTACTGAGTATGTATGATCTATAGGCGTTCTCTTTGTGCAAACCTGTTACAGCTCTCTCTCCTAAGCTTCAAACATGGGAATACTACCGTTTGGATATTTCATGGGGATCTCAAAGTACCATAATCATTTTGGATAACAAACTAACATACAGAAAAGATTTCTGCAGTCCCTCTACACCTCTCCAATTCAAGCTTGCAACTTCCTCATATGCCTCTCACACACCTTGTCAATTTGGCCACCCAAGCCAAGAACATGAGAGTCATTCTCAATTCTCCTTGTTCCATGCTCTCCACCTCCAGTTAGTTACCTTTCCCTTCATTCTCTGTGGTTCTTTTTGAAATGATTCATACAACCTTTGTAGCAGCAATCACATTGTGGCTAATGGTGATTTCATCCATGTCTGCTACTCCACCCATTTCTCTCTCTCAAGACTGTTAGTACTTAGAAAGCATATTCATAGTGGCCCAGCCCCTTGTAGCCAGCAAATATTTGGCGATTGATAAAGAATTGTTGAACTTAGCCCACATACTAGAAGGAACTAATTAGAAGTAAAAAAAACAAAAACAAAAACAAAAACAACCCACAGCATTAAAAGGGAACATGTTTGAAATGTACACTGTGAATGAATTAATGGTGGATCTAGTCAGAAAATGTTGGTCTGTTGGTTTGTGTATGTGTGTTTTCCCCAACCATACTGCAGCTCAAGAACAGAAGGACAGCAGATGGTGATGCGGGTTAGGGTTGCAGGGTGGCCTGGCTGATAGTTAAGAGATATGTCAGTGTATATAATGAAACTGAATGTGGCACGAGGGGATGAGCAGGAGCCAAGCTGGTGGAGTCTAGGGGCCAGTTGAGAAGATAGTGTATTAGATTTACATTGAGTATGGAAGAAGGAGAGAGGATCACTTTTCCTTTTAATCCTGGGGAAAGAACTATGGTCCTTTTCCACAGATGCCCAGGCATGAGTGACATCACAGACACTAGAGTCAGAATGTTGAGATTCTCATGGACTTTCCAGTTAGATGGATCAAGAGCCACCTTCAACTTGGGCATTGAAAAAGGAGAACTGGCTGACTTGGGGTGGAGGATGACTTTATTGCCTTTCTGAGCTAGAATTTACAGACTAATAATCAAAGCCTACCGGACTGCAAGCCTTGTGGTCTAGCACAGAGAAGCCAGCACATCCCTAATGAACAGTCACCACGTTCTGGGGCAGGAGCAATCAGCCCTGAGACCACAGGTGTAGACACCAACACCCTGAAAGAGTGAGAGAGCCCCATGCAGTGAGTCACAATGTCTAACTGAGCTATTCCCCACAGGCTCCTCCTTGTGAGTCAATATAGGAGGACTGGCTATTTGGATGCAAACTCCCTGAACCAAATGGCTGAAGGAAATCCTTATCCTTGTTCACAGGGTGGAGGAGAATTAGTGGAGGGTGCTACAATTTCAAAATAGTATTTGGCTCAGCCAAGAGATTTTTTTTTTTTTTGAAATAAATCACACTAGTTTTAAAATGTGATAGGACTATAATAATGCTGGATCCCAGTATGCACAAAGCAGCAGTTCAGGTGTCTAGGAAACCTCAGTAAGGCTCTGAGGTCCCGTCAGATGCTCCTTCTCCCCAGTTATGGACATCTGGAATCGTTTAGCTGAATGTTCTCTTGGCTGTTCCACGCATTGTACAGGGAAGGCGGCATGTTAATCTCTTTCAGTCATTTACACCATAGCAGATACCGCAGATAGACCAGGCATGCTCCACCTTGGAGCCTTTGTGCTCTCCATTCCTTTTCCCTAGAAGGTTCTGTCCTGACATGTACAATGTTTTACCCCCTCACTTTTCACTTTTTGCGCATCTCAAATATTACCTAATCGGTGAGGCCTTCTCTGAACGCTCATTTACAAATCAAATTACTCCCACCCCTAGAGATCCCCATGCCCCTTCCCTGCTTCATTTTCTTCCTGGCACATCACAATCTAAAAGACTGTGCATGTATGAATTATCTGTTGCCATTTACTAGAATGTAAGTTCCATGAGGATGGGGTGTTTTCTCTGTGAACTGCTGCATATTCAGCACCTAGAATATTGCCTGAGCCTTTGTAGATCTTCAGTAAATATTAGTTGAATGTGTAAATGAATAAATAAGTGAATACATCTTTGAGGTTATTTTGGAGGCTAGAAGGTGTGTACGAACATCCGCGTGTGAGTGTGCCTTTAAAGTGAGAGTAAAGGGAAAGAACAAGAGACAACTATATTCCTGGAAGGATGTGAGTAAATGTCCTCAAACTAAGGTGGGAAGGCTGGTTCACTGTGGACGAAATCCCTCTCCCTCACCATTTTACCAAGAATGGGTCTTGCCTAAGGCTGCCTGAACAGTGTAAAGTGAAGAAGTTCAGAGGCCAATGGAGAACATTTCTGCATTCTTTAAGACTCCCTTCCTTGCCCAAGGGACAAAGTGCAAAACCATAAACAATATGGAAAATCTCTTTCCTTCTGGAGGTGAACAAAGCAAGCATTCATTAACAGAAGCGTGACACTTGAGAACGTTGATTTTATCTACCCAACTATCTTTTCTTTTTTCTTTTTTCTTTTCTTTTCTTTTTTTTTCTTTTTTTTTCTTTTTTTAAATAGGCTCCACACCCAATGTGGGGCTTGAACTCAGAACCTTGAAATCAAGAGTTGCGTACTCTGTTGACTGAGCCAGCCAGACACCCCCAAACTACAGTTTCTAGAAAAAAAATTTTTTTTTCCAGAATAAGTTTCTGGCTTTAGTTTTACCTCGGGATTTGTTTATGGGAATTCTTGGAAAGATAAGGGAAATAGCACTGGCTGGGGGAGATAGGGGGAAAGCATTTGGTTGTTAGCAGCAGCTCTGGACTGGAATCCATCCCCAGCACGACAGGACTTGCAGGGCTTACCAGGCAGGCATGGGAGTGTTTATTTACTGAGGGTGTCAGGCGAGAGCCATCACACTGACTCAGTGTGACTAATGAGCCTATGGAGATACACAGAAAAAAAACCCTCAGAAGACAGAAAAGAATATTGATTTCATTCATTTGCACGTGGACAAGGGATGTTCATATGTGTAAAGAAAAAGTGAAAGAAGCAATTCAGTGGTTTTGGAGAGTGAACTTGGAAGTGCAACACTGATTGTTAAAGATCTTTGAAAATAATCTGGAATGATAATTATAAATACTTGAGTAGAGAGGAGCAGAATCTTAAAAATAGTTAACAACGTTCATTTTAAAGAAAAACCAGGATTTGAGGAAATGAAATCACTCATTCTAGTTACTTTTCAGAATTCATCATGGTGAGTGGTGGTTTTTTATTTCAGTACCATGCCAGTGGATGTAGTAATTTGTTAATAATCAAGCTCTGTAATTTGTGAATGATTTACTTGTTAAATGATTAGAGCACATTTAAAGTTATTCAATAATGATGTTACTTACTTGCATTTTGACTTCCATCTCTGTGGAGAGAGTTGATTCCAGCTGGGAAGGCCAGCACAGCCTCAAGATGATCTTGTGCACAGGATGATGTGAGCTTGCAAATGTCATCTGTCATGGAGAAAAAAAAATATGGGGAACCACTGCTTTGGAGGACATGTTTACATGAGCTGTGCTGACTAAAAGTTATAATGGTGTTCTTGAAACCCCCGGTTAGATATTGTGAGTGGCAGATATGTCTGTGCAGTAACTTCATTTTTGTAACAAAAGTAATTGAAAATCTCTTGATATGATGAATAATAATTTAATTAACGCAGTTACATCTATATACATCAGGGAATTGGAGATTTGAAGCAGTCTTTCAGATATAAGAAGAGAGATTCAAAATGTTTCTAGTGCCTGAGCACTTTAGGAAGATGTTTGTTTTTAAACCTGTTTTATTTGAGTTGGACAATTTTTTTGTTTTTGCTTAACGTTTTTTGTTTTGGCAGTGGACCTAATTTGAATTTCATCTCCCTCTCTAGTTCCCACTTAGAAATTTTATTAGACAGAAATATGTTCAAATGCTAAGCAAACCAGCTTAGCAAAATGTTGATACAAAAAAGGCAATGGGAAAAATTGTTCTTGATAATTTAGCTTTAAATATCGCAGTGATATTTAGCTTCTCTAAGGACATTTGTGGTTAACGATTTTTTTAATTCATAATGGTCATTATGAACATTACTATATGCCTTGAAAGTAGACCTCCTGTTTGGGCAATTGTCTGCTAATTTATTATGACATTTTTTTTTCCAGGTGGACCGTTCTTAACTTTTACTGAAAACAATATCTGAATGATGTCATACCTTTGGGAAGAGTCACACCCATTTCATGTAGAATCAGCTACAACAGAGGTAAGTCAGTTAACAAAGACTTCTTGTGACTAATTCTTCTATGGGTATGAAAGAGGAAGAGAGTGTATCATCATATTTCTTAATTTTAGGATTAGAGCATTCATCTGAAGTAATCAGGGCATTTGATGACAAGTCAACAAATTAAGCAGAGCAATATTACAGGGAAGACTTAGAGGTGAACAAAGAAAAACCCATGTGAAAGCTCATGTAAAGAATTGCTTTATGGTTCATAAAAGTGCCATTGTGAGTTTCCATTGTTTGGCACTGTGGGAGAATCAGTCTATACCTTGAAATTTTCAATTGTTGGAATCTGAAGTCTACAGAGTATGGTTTATTGTTCTTTATACCTTGGATTTCACTTCAAAAGTATGGATAATCCATCTGCAAAAAAACAGCAGAGGAAGATTGTGGCTTCTAGGTTTTCAGGAATAATAAGTTGGTGGGACTTCTATGGAATATTTTATTTACTTTTATTTCTTAGAGACTAGATACATTAGGTCAGTTGATCAGAATTTGAAACCTGAGTCCCAGGTGTGCTCTGTGGTCATATGGACAGACGTCAAATAGGTGATTTGAGGGACACTAGAAAGTGTCTATGCTTAAAACACCTCACCTCCTGACCTATGACTTTTTTTTTCTGACCTATGACTTAATAGAATATCACTTTGTTTTCTAAGTGAACAGATATTCTAAGTATTAAAGATATATGCTCGAAGGAGAAATAATGAAGTGCTTTGGTGATTTATACTTTATTGTGAATTAACTTATCAAACAATTTAAAAACCTATCAACTAGTTATGGTCAGCTTTTTAAAGGAAGCAGGAGGTAGTGATTATCAAAACATTGTGCATATCATGTTCTAGAAATAAGGTAAAAAAAAAACATGCCAAAGAAAAGACAAATTTCATTTCCTTCCATGTTATGTTGGGTCAACTAGCTTTTGCACATAAAACTCTTTTCCACTTGGCCAGCAACTTGGCAGCATATATTAGATAGAGACTGAACATAAAGTGTGGTCTCCTTTGTGTGTGGAGTAATTGCTATTTTATTAGTGATACCTAACATATAAATATTACTGGAGACTGGGTTAAGAGCACCATCCCTTTCATGCTAATTTTCAAGTAACATTTTTCCCCTCAAAGTCACCTGGCTGCCCTATTCTACTTGGTGGAAATGATGTAATTAGAACTCTTGGGGCAGCCCGGGTGGCTCAGCGGTTTAGTGCCGCCTTCCGCCCGAGGGTGTGATCCTGGAGACCTGGGATTGAGTCCCATGTCAGGCTTCCTTCATGGAGCCTGTTTCTCCCTCTGCCTGGGTCTCTGCCTGTCTCTCTTTCTGTGTCTCATGAATAAATAAAATCTTAAAAAAAAAAAAAAGAACTCTTAGGGGGCGCCTGAGTCGCTCAGTTGGTTAAGTGTCCAACTCTTAATCTCAACTCAGGTTTTGAACTCAGGGTCCTGAGTTCAAGCTCCACATTGGGCTCCATGCTGGGTGTGGTGACTACTTAAAAAAAAAAAATAGAACTCAAAGGGAAATAAGAGCTCTCCACTCTGCCCTTTTCCAAGGAAGCTCAACTGAAAAGTTATAATAATTTGGTGATCCTCATCATTTTGGCCATATAATAGTTTTTTTCAAATATTTATTTATTTATTCATGAGAGACACACAGAGAGAGGCAGAGACATAGGCAGAGGGAGAAGCAGGCTCCTTGCTGGGAGGAACCTGATGCGGGACTCAATTCCAGGACCTGGGGATCATACCTTGAGCCAAAGGCAGACGCTCAACCACTGAGCCACCCAGGTGTCCCAAGGTAACAATTTGATATGAATTGAATTCTTGTCTCTCTTTGCTTGTGTTCAGAGGAGTTTCCAGTGCAGAGTGGCTTAAACAGACCAACCTTGTGAATGAGGCAAAATATTAGTGAACAAGAAATATTACAGTGGAAGTTTGGAGTTGCAGAAGAGAATTAACCTGATCAATTCCTAACTCTACCTTTGATCAACAAGTTCCTTTTCAGCCAGTTTGATCATCTGTAAAACAAGGCTTTGGATCAGATAATACAAATGTTTGGAGTTTGCATGGTTTCAGAGTTTGTATGTCAGTACTCTTTGAGTGAGTTCATTTTGAAGATTTAAATTATAATAATAAAAACAATAAAAAATAACAATCTTCATGAGCACTTACTGTGTCCTAGGTGCATTCTCATAACTTCTTTACAGAAACCTTATTATGTAGGGACTGTTATTTCCAAAATAGTCCAGAGAGGTACAAAGAGGTTAAGTAACTTGCCCAAAGACACACAGCTAGTAAATGGTAAAGCTGGGGTTTGAACTCAACTAGTTGTCTCCAAAGATTAAACTTTTAACTGTTAATTTAAAACACACAATTAAAAAAACAAACCACATTAAAAAATTCAAATTTATCTTTTCTTAATCATTAAAACATAATACAGTTATTTGACTAATAGATGGAATGACATTTTATAATTTTCTCGTAGGCCTTTGAGTATTAGCTTTAATTTTGTGCAAAGTCGAGCAGATTTTCTTTCCCCGACAGCTCAGTGTTTCCTATCAAAATATTCAGCAACATCTCCTGACTTGTTTTTTCAGTAGAGACATCCTTTCCTAGCAAGAATTAGCAGAAGCATCCATAAGCATGTGTTGGCTTGTTCTGGAGGCTCTGGTGTGAAATAGGGTTGCACAGAGTAGAAGAGCAAATGCCTTTGTTGTTGATTTGCCTCTTTGAAAGAATTTCCAAAGACCAGCACAAAAGAGGATGTTTCAGGATCCGAGAAAGTGTAAAGAGGAAGAGTGGCAAGTTAGAAAATCAACTTATCTTTCAACTGTAGCAGTCATAACTTGTGGGGAAAAATTCAGAGCAATTTATAACAGCTGAGAGGAAGAGGGAAGATTCAGAAAGAAATATTGTCAGAACTTATGAGACTGTGTGTTTATTACATGTTAAATTTTTTGTTAAACAAGAAATTGTACATAATTAATGTGTATAACTTGATGTGTTTGGAGGTAAGTACACACCCATGAAACCATCACCACAGTCTATGCCACGAACCTATTCATCCCCTCCAAAAGTTTTCTCCCTCTTATTTATTATCATCATCATCATCATCATCATCATCAGTGCCAAGAACACTTAACATAAGATTTACCCTCTTAGCAAAATTTAAGTATATAATACAGTGTTGCTAACTATAGGTTCTGTGCTGTATAGTAGATCTCTAGGACTTATTCATCTTGTCTAAATGAAACTTTATGCCCTTTGACTAATACTTGCATTTCCTGTGACACAGTTTTCCACTAAAGTTGTGGATGTTGGCCCTGAATGAGAATAATTAAGAGTTTGGTAAAACAAGGTCTTTTCATTATGCCTTACCTAAAGAAAATTAGGTGGAAAATCTAAGTGGTTCTTTTCTTTTTACTAATAAATCTAGAGAGCAGACTCTGCATGTAGAAACTTTGTATCTGCAACACAAACCAACCATGCCTGGTCCGTGGATCTGGTGATGGAAAGACACTGCTTCAATCAGCTACACCAAGCTACTTGCTTATCTGAGGCGTGTGTGTATGGGTGTGTGTGTGTTTTACCTCCAGGTTAGGGCCACATAAATCACTGTCAACATAGTTCATTGGACATGGAAAGACATGACTCACATTTTGTGTTTAAATACTCATTTTTGGCTTAGTGACAATGCCTTTTTGCAGGAGTGGAAACCATGTCATTATCCCATTTATATAAATACAAGATTACCTGATTCTGTGCTACTTTATAATTAACAGAATTCTTTGCAATCCTCTCTTGATTCTATGAAAGAATATAAATACTTCCCTTGCCTTCTGAGGCAATGAGGACATACATATTCTTTCAGTATCAGTGTTTTTCTTATATTAGAATTTGACGCTCTGTGTTTTCACACATCATTTACTGTTTGCTAATTTAATAACAAATTCAGGACACAGAAAACATCAGACGTTGCGAGGCATAAATTTTAAAATACAATACTACTTCATGGAATAAAGGTGGAGAGGGAGATAGTGTTGAAGAGTAAAATAGTTGTAGCTGTTCAAATGTGTTTTTCACAAATCACAGAAACACTGAGGTTGAAGGACCTATTTAAAGTTATCATTTAAAAAAAGTGAAACAGAATAAAACACAAATCACGGTCTTAGATATGGAGAACAGATTGGTGATTGCCAAAGGTAGGGCATGGGATGTGGGGAAAATGGGTGAAAGGGGTCAAAAGGTAGAAACTTAGAGTTATAAGTAAGTCATGGGGATATAATATACAGAGGGTCACTATAGTTAATTTCTGAATTGCATATTTGCAAGTTGTGAAGAGGGTAGGTCTTACAAGTTCTTATAACAAGAAAAAAATTTTTTGTAACTATGTATGGTGATGGATGTTACTTAGATGTACTGTGGTGGTCATTTCATAATAGATATTAATATTGAATCAAAATCGGTACATGTAAAATTATTTTTGTACCTAGCTATGTGTCACACATAACCTCTTCTAAATTGGGTGCTATCAAAGTAATTCTTGGGCAGCCTGGGTGGCTCAGTGGTTTAGCGCTGCCTTCAGCCCAGGGTGTGATCCTGGAGACCCGGGATTGAGTCCCACGTCAGGCTCCCTGCATGAAGCCTGCTTCTCCTTCTGCCTGTGTCCTTGCCTCTCTCTCTCTGTGTCTCTCATGAATAAAGTCTTAAAAAAAAAAAAAAAGTAATTCTTAAGGAGTTTATCAAAAAAGAGTTTCCATGACTTTTGGATAGTTTGTTTTATTTTTTGTTTGTTTGTTTTTTTGTTTTTTGAGGTAGCTTGTTTTCCTTATTAAATGTGGAAGAGATGTCATTGTGTCCTGAAATATAACCCCATGTATACTTCAGTATAGCAGCAAACCATATATTTGCATTCTATCTATTCCCGTTTCTTCCTTTTTATCTCTCTCTGTCTCTCAGTCTTAGATATATATAGAAATATACAGATTGCTCTGTCCTCTATTCCCAAATAGATATATTTGCCCCCAGTGTACTGCTTCTTTAATCTTTAGAATTGTACCTAGATTTCTAGTCTGTTAGAAAATCATTTTGATTGTTTTCTTTGTATTCTTAACAATTTTTAATGCTCTACTCAAGTCTCAGAGCAGAAAGCAAACAGCTTATTTTGACAGAGTAATAATTATGTATTATTATTACTGAATAACTATAGATAAACCTTTACATTTATGTCACTTTATTGAATGACCTTGAGGAAGTAATTTGCTTCTCTGGGACTCTCTTTTCGTGACTATAATCAGGGTTACTGTAAGAATTAAATTAGAATATGTACCTCTTTGTCTTGGCCACCTGGTAGGGCTTATCAGTGTCCTCTTTCTTCCTGCTCTGGTAACGGTATCCATTTGCACTTGTTCTTTTAGACCATCATTCTCTTGAGTTTTAACTACATCTGCATTGTGTTTAGATTTTTTCTGTTATGCATTTGTTAAAAAGAAAGTCTATGCATAAAAGAAAAAGAAATTAAGACACCAACCTAGAATGTCCCATGTTTTGTCAGAGCGCAGCAGAAGGGATCTCAGTATTTGCTATGGAAAATGTGTTGTTTCTGGCACCTGGAATTCAAACAATTATCTTCCTTTCTTAACAATTAGCCCCCTTACTTAAAAACGATTTCAGACTGTGTTGTTGAACAACTATTAAGCCATATAATCTCTAGATTCAGAGTCACTCCTTGTAGACCCAGTAAAGGAGTGAGAAGATGCTGAATTGCCAATTACAAGAAGGAAGGGACCTTAACATTTACTTGTTTCTTAATTGTTAGTGGCATTGAAGCTTGTCAGTTGTGTTTTTTTCACAGTCTTACTTGATTTTTGAAAGTTAAGGTGAACTGATCTTGCTGTTTTTATTCTTCAAATTTTCTATAAATAGGAAGATCAGGGGATATTTTTGGAACTTACGTACATGGCCTTCATTTTCCTGGGGTTGATTTGGAACATCTGAGTCAAGCCATCCACTTTTCTTCACTCAATATCCATTCCCATCCAGCGTCTGCTCCTCATACACCATGATCCAAGTTGAACTGTGTGAATTAAAGAATGAGGAAGGTCAGCCAAGGCTAGATCTAAAGTTCCAAAGGGACTTACTTGTGACATCCCTTTAAAGGGAGACATAAAAATAACAAGCACTTACTGGGAAACAAACGTGGGCTGCTGAGTCTCTGATAGCTGTCACCAGAGCCATGGTACATTTTTCATCATGGTAGGTTGGAAACCTGGCCTTCTCTTTAGCATGTCAGAATTTCTGCCTGAAAGACCATTCCAAATTGCCAAACAAATACTAAATCTAAATGAGTTAAAGCATCCAGTTAATAAAAGTCTGCCCTGACCTCACCCAGCACCTCATCTAGGACTATTTCCACCTGAAGAAGAAATCTTAAGTCCCCAGGTATTTCCTTCCTGCCTAGGAGGACGGAAAAAAGGTATGGGCTAGAAAAAATGTGAAATACTGATAAAAATACATATGTAAGTCAGTTTCTTACCTTCTGTTTCTTAGTAACTATTAATTACAAAGAGTAGTTCACCTTTTACGAAATGGCAAAGGAAGTACTCATAAGTGTGTTCCCAAACTGTTTTATTATAACAGTGTTACACTGTTAAAGTTTTAGTATATACTGTTTAAAATTTATAATACATCAAGTAAAAAGACAGTTTTACACATTTTTTTCTTTTGCTTAAAACGATTTTTATTTCTGGTAGAAAAATACAGATATATTTTTGCTTTGAATTTACTTTTACATGGCAAATCAATCTGAGGTCCTCCTAGACAAGATTAATCTATTTTTATTTAAAAACACATTTAATTTCAATTTTGCTTTACAGAGCCTTTACTACTATGACATAGTTTTCTCTGCATTTGGCAATGTAGCAAAATTCCCATTTCATGATAAGTTGGGTTTTCAGAGGCAATGCTAAAATACTTGGAGGATCCTGAAAACACTTTTGAACTTGAAGTAAGGACTATTATGATTATTAATTCTCATGCATAAAAGAGGCACAAATCAACCATGTGTGATCTAGACCTGAGAGCAAATTTCCATTAACAGGTCCCAGTGGTAATAGCGAGGCAACTTCTTTGGGACCTGGCAGCTGCTTCGTAGGGTCTGGTTCCCCTCAGCTCAAGATGGACACACTGCAGGTGTTGTTGAAACAGCAGGCTTGTCTTGAAAGAACAGATTGCCTGTACTTCTTGGTTATCCTGACACATACCTTCCTTGTAGTCATGGCACCAGGAAGAGGGAAGAATGTTAGGTGTAGCGACATTTAGGAGATGTCTCTCCCCCAGGTATCCTTAGGACTGGATCCTTCTGTGTTAAAACACACTTTAGTACTCTGCATTCCATCTCAAAAAACAAATA